GAACAGTACGCGAAACGGACCGTCTTTACAACCGCGAGGATGAGTTCACTGGGTGCCTGGCAGTTCACGCCACTCATGACCGAGTTTCCTACCAATATGTTGCCCAACCTAGGGTTCTGGAGTGCGAAGAACGGATCTTGGGAATACCAGATTCAGCTGGCATGGCCGCTGAACTGGACCTCACAGGAGGAGACGTCGACTGTGGAGACAATGTAAGGACACAGGCAGCGCCAGCGGCACCACGGGGATTCGGACTGACACGGCTACTAGGTATGTCCTCGACGGCAATGCTCTGGGTATGACTGCCACAGAAGCCTTCCGCCGCCGCCGTCCCGTCGAGTTCAACATGCCCGACTGCATTGTCGTCAGCATAGGCTACCCGGCGACCATCGAAGATTCACCGTACAGCACGCAGCGGAGCTACGACTTCCAGCCTCCAGTCTGCGATGGCTGCCCCTTACCTGCGGTGCCCGGCGTGCAGTCCAATGCGGATGAGTTCATCGAGTTCATCGACAACGCTCTCCGGCCATGGGTTCAGGAGACGGCTTTCCCGAAAGCTGAGTTTGACCGCGACGCACTCTACGGCCACTCCTTTGGCGGCCTCTTCGTCCTGTATGCGCTCACGGTACGGCCTGATCTCTTCGATACGTTCCTCAGCGCTTCTCCGGCCCTCTTCTTCAACGACGACTACGTCTTCAACAACACGGACTTCCTCGCACCGCTGGTGTCGCCTTCGGCCAGCGACACGGCCAACGCGACCAAGCCTGCTTTCCAGATAAGCTACGGCGCGCTCGAACAGAAGCTGGTGAAGCGACGGACGGAGACGGACGCGGAGTTTGCGTTCAGGCAGAGCATCCTCGTGCCGCAGCGCATGACGGATCTGAGCCAGAAGCTGTACAGCAGGCTGGAGGGCAGCCCGGCGTTGAGGGATGTCAGCATCCACGAGTACCCGTTCAGTGACCACGCGGCAGTAGGCGCGGCAGCTCTGGCGGACGGCATCGACTACTTCCTGGACTGGTGAGTGAGAGCGAGGTTGTGGGAGAGCAAGGGGATGTCAACGTGTCCATGTACCTAAGTTCCGCGTTAGCCGGGCGCAACGGGGCAGTAGCTTGACGAATGGATCCGGACTACCTGCCGCTTTGGCAGCTGGCAGTATAGCGCAGTGCTTGACCGCCTTGTTCGAACACCTGGGGGAGGCGGCGGCGGGCGTCACTGAGTGGTGGAACGGCGCAGATTGCGCGACAGGTGTCTTGCCCACCGCACCCACCGCGGTGCGCATGGGGTGCGATAAGTGATGGCGGCGGCGGGCGGCATTGGCTGCCAGGGCGGGGCGGTGGGTCCGGCCGCCAGCAGGAGGCTCAACGGACGGGTTTGATCAGCGCGGGCTGCAGAAAAGATTTCGCCTAGGGAACCCCGGCGCTACGTCATCTTGAGGGAGACGACGGGTCCGGTGAGAGGGAGCACCGCACGTAGAAATAGCATCGCCGACGCTCCCCAGCACGCCGACGACGACGACGCCGACGACGCCGACACACACGATGCAGCGCGCCAACACGACCGAGAGCCTGCGCACGCCCGGCGCCGCCATCTCGACGCTCAACCTCAACAAGCCCCCGCGGCCGGGCATGGAGCGCGCGCCCACGTCGACCAACCTGACGCGCCCGCTGCCCATCCAGCGCCTCGAGGGCAAGGTCGTCATGATCACGGGCGGCGGCGGCAAGGTGGGCGTCGAGTCGGCCGGCCGCCTGCTCATCGAGGGCTGCAACGTCGCCCTCATCGACATCGACCAGACGGCCCTCGAGGTGGCCGTGCCCGTGCTCAAGGCCGCCATCCCCACGGGCATCCCCATCGAGTCGCGCCTGCTGACCATCGTCGCCGACGCCACCAAGGAGCCCGACGTCGAGGCCTGCGCCAAGAAGGTCGTCCAGCGCTTCGAGAGGCTCGACGCCGCCCTGCTCAACTGCTGCCACCGCGGCGAGTCCAAGAGCATCTTCGACGTGACCGAGGACGACTTTGACCGCATCATGACCATCAACGCCAAGTCCGGTACGCCCACGTGACCCCCACGTGACCCCACCACGTGACCCGCTGACCACTGCCAGCTTTCCTCGGCGTCAAGTACGCCGCCACCGCCATGCAGACGACGGCCGCCGGCGGCTCCATCATCATCCGCTCCTCCATCGCCGGCCTGCGCGGCTTCCCCAACCTCATCTCGTACAGCGCCAGCAAGTTCGCCCTGCGCGGCATTGCCCTCACCGCTGCCGAGGAGCTCGGCCCCCTCAACATCCGCGTCAACACCATCCACACCAGCATCATCCAGACCCCCGGCTACAAGGACGGCTGGAGCAAGGAGAAGCTGGCCGAGCTCAAGGAGGAGACTGCCCTCGACCGCTTCAGCAGCCCCGACGACGTGGCCAGCGTCGTCGCTTTCCTCGTCAGCGAAGACAGCAAGTTCATGACCGGCGGCCACCTGAAGATTGACGGCGGCTGTGTCGCTGTCTAGACGTCCCACGTAGCCTTGCTTGTTGTACTGCCATGGTCGTCATTTGCATGGATGGAGTTTGGGATGCCCGCCTTTCTTCACAGGCCGAGGCTGCATGTTTTGCGCAGGCTGCCATCACGGAGCCGACACATAGAGGCACTTTATTAGACGGGTAGAAATGCATCACCACACGGACCTGTGTCCGCAAGTACTCCATCTGTCAGCATGCTTAGGCATACCTAGGTGCTTTGCCATGACAGCGCGTGACGTCACTGCGTCGTTTCCGAAAGTATCCGCGAAGCTGCCATGGTGTGACGTGCATTAGCCATACGCCATCCCTCGGAAGGTTTCTTCGCGACTTTCAACTTCAATCCTCACTTCAACCCGTTAGAGACCCAAAGCCACCATGTCCGAACCTACAGCGACCCAACACCATCCCAAGTTCCAAACTCGCAAGCCAGAGCAAGATGCCGTCGACTACGAAATGCAGACATATACGCGCGGACTGGACTTTGAACGCCCACCGCTCACCTTCCAGGCTGACAAATGGGAAGAGCTGGCCTGCAGTCGCATGTCAGCCGACTCAAAAGGCTACGTATACGGATCCGCCGGCGTACGGGAGACCACAGACAAGAACCGCAGTGCCTTTAGAAGATGGTCGATTGTACCCAACCGCCTAGTCAGGTACGACGGCTTCCCTGACCTGACATCCGAGATCTTTGGGGAGAAGATGGTAGCACCCATCGCCATGGCGCCTGTCGGTGTACTCAAAATCTTCAACCCAGAAGGCGAGGTCGCGGCTGCAAAAGCAGCAGCCAAAGAAGTCATCCCGTACATCCTAAGTACGGCCAGTAGTACGAGTATAGAAGATACTGCCGCAGCCAACGGCCCCAACAGTCAACGCTGGTACCAACTCTACTGGCCGTCACGCGAACACGACGACATCACCATTTCGCTACTTGAACGCGCAAAGAACGCCGGCTTTACAGCTCTGTTTGTAACTCTAGATACGTACATCCTCGGATGGAGACCCGAAGACATGGACAACGGATACAACCCCTTCATGCGCGCCGACCGCACAGGCGTAGAACTTGGCATGACGGATCCTGTGTTCCGGAAACAGTTCAAAGCGAGACATGGCGTGGATGTAGAACGAAAGATGGAGGCTGCGGCGCCAGAATGGATGAGGACGATTTTCCCGGGCGAGAGCCATAGTTGGGAGGATGTCGAGTTTCTCCAGAAACACTGGCATGGGCCGATTGTGCTCAAGGGCATTCAGAGCTTGGCTGATGCGAGGAAGGCGGTGGAAATTGGCGTGCAGGGCGTCGTTGTGAGTAACCATGGAGGCAGGCAGCTCGATGGAGGGAATTCGTCGTTAGGCGTGCTGCCACATATCGTTGATGCCGTTGGGGATAGGTTGACCATTTTCTTCGACAGCGGGATACAATCGGGTGCTGACATTGCCAAGGCCATGGCGCTAGGAGCCGACTGCGTGCTGATTGGTAGGCCGTATGTGTATGGTCTGGCGCTTGGAGGAGAGAAAGGCGTGGAGCATGTGCTCAAGAGTCTGGTGGGTGAGCTCGAGTTGACATTGCATTTGAGCGGCATCCCGAGCGTGCAAAAGAAGGATTTGAATCGCGCCGTGCTCGTTAGAGAGGAGGCGCTTTTCGAAAGTGTGAAGGGGGTGGGATTGCGTTAGGGGAGATATTGCAATCTATATGGATCTTCATCTAATCACATGTAAACGTGTCGACACTCTTTTTAGCCTCACTCTTCCCTTTCGCCAGCCACCTCCCGTGACCAACCGCAGTAAGCGCCACACATTCTTCGATGTACGAGCACTTATAAGCAGCAGCTCCATTCGGCGACATCTTGGTATCAGAATAGTGTAACCGTTCTGAACTTACCCTCTTCTCACCTTCACTTCGATCAAGACTTGCGTGGGTATCTAGACTTCCCGACGTTACCTTAACTTTGTCCATCTCCTGCAAATCACCAACACAATCTCCTCTTCATCTTGCAAACAGGGTTGTACTTGAGCGGATGAAGCGGGCTCTGGAACTGCAGTTTGGTGGATTCTTTGGAGGCGAGTGAGATGGTGGTAGAGACGCATGTAGGAATGAGCACGTTGGAGATTGGATTTGGTGACGCCGCGGACCAAAAGTGTGAGACCCCTTTTCTTTCCGATGGTAACGACTTCCTTACTTTTACCATGACGGGTGGTCGTGAGCTACATGCAGGGCATGACCGGGAACTTGTACCTTTAACTTTCTTCTTCCGGGTCAATGAGGATACGTATCCGCCAACTCCATTCGCTCCAAGGTACTTTTTCGGCTAACCATTACTGCCGCAAAATACTCTCGTTACCCTTGAACTACGAGTGTCAATGTCACTCCCCTGTGATAAATGATCTGAGTTTTGCAAGGCTCAATGCTATACGGATATATCAAGCATCACCAACTACGCATGCCGAATCTACAGACGCCAATCCAGAAAAGGCCTTTTATTGGACGACAGATCACACCCTCATCATCATCCGTACCGTAGGAATAAAGTCTTGACTATCCTTCTCTTGCTGTTCGAAGCTCTGTTTAAAGGCTGCCAATCCCGCAAGGATTCCGCATACCATAAACACCAACGACACAAGCGACCAAATAACACCCCAGCATTGCGACGAACCGCCATACCGCTTAGCGAAGACGCTGGCATCAGACGAGTTGACCTTACGGAGAATGAGGTCGTCACAGATATCCCAGACGCTGTAGAGAGAAGACATGACGCCGATGAAAAGCTGGAGCGGCGTTAGCAAGGACGTTTCGAGGGGACAGGGAAAGACACCTACGACCATGAACCTCAACGCCTCGCCATGTTCGATGAACCAGAAGGCTACCAGTAGCCCTACGCTGAGAAGAATTGTGACGATAGTCAACCAGTCTTTTCTCGCCCACCATAGTGTCAGCAAGAAGCAAACGCCTAGCACTATACTCGCTACTTTGGATGCCACGATGTTGAAGCCACAAAAGGTCAGCAGAGCACCTATCAATGAGGAGCCCAAGTAGCCAGCAGGCAGAGTTATGAATTGCTTGCCGCCGCGCATATGCGTTACACCGCCTTCATGGGGATCAAGGGAGATGGACTCCACTCGCCCGCCGGTACAGCAGGATGTTATTGCATGAGAGAATTCATGAAAGGCTATGACGAGCATCTGTGGGTTTCGTCAGCTATCAACATCTCCCATTGCCCCACGCTACCTACATACCTTGAACGGCCACAACACCCACCGTACATACGGCAAGTTCCACAACAACGCAATAACGACAACATACGCAGCAATAACACCCAGCGTAACCCCTTGGGTGTGATTTACACTCAACCCGCGGCGCTCAAAGTGATGCGAAGCCTGCGAGGCGACAGCCGGCCCCGCTGTGACCAGGGTCCGGCGCGCTAATTTGGCGAGCGTGCTGGTGTTGCGAGGCGACGCTGCTGGCGGCATGGCGGTGTAGTTGTACGTCTCTGTGGTATGAAGTGTTCGAGCGTAGGCAGAGCGGAAGCCTGGGTACTGAGCAGCCAAAGTACAGAGGAATGAAGATGCTGTTCTTGTTGTTCTGGTGAGTGAAAGCGGAGAGTGGCTGGGGAGAAGACGTGGAGCTGACGCGTTGTTTGTGGAATGCGCCACGCAGCACGCTAAATTTAGCAGGGGTGTGGCTGTGTCGGCATTTTGTCATCACGTTTACGGAACGGGAGACAAAGCAGACTTGGACACTGGAAACAGCAGTTGATATTGTATTGAATGGGATAGTCTGTGTATTATGTATACCGCTTGGTAGAGTGCGGCGTCATGCTTAAAGGAAGCGGTTCACTAAGCTGTGCGAATGCATCTTCGTCCCAAATACCAGGATATGAACTGAGTATGCATCGAGAGAAACCCTAACCTCGGCGCTCCTCGTCAATGTGTTCCTGATGCACTGACATGCCCCTCTCGGGCGAAGTATCGACATCTTTGTCGCCATACTTCTCAGATCCAACAGCACCAGTAGCGCCGACAGCGCTGTGGCGTCGCTCCCAGTATGAGTCGTCGCGTTCGTTACGGCTGATGTATCCAGCCGGGACCCACTTCTTACTGGTCCTGGCAGATAGGCTCGGGTCTGAGTACATGATATCGACGTTCTCAAGAGACAACGATTTGGTCTCGAAGACGAAGAAGTAAACGACACCGGCGGCGACGAAGTTGCAGGCGAAGAAAACGAAACCGAAGGCGTATCCGATACCGTCGTCAGCGTAAGGTGTGAGGAAACCGATCAGGAAGTTGCCTAAGAATGGTCGTTAGCAAGCGAAGTCGGCATAAGAAAGCATGTTGCTTACCGAGCCAGTTGAACGCTGTAGCCAAAGAGGCTTGCTTCGCGCGAGTCCTGAGCGGGAAAGTTTCGCCAATGATAACCCAAATGAAAGGACCCCAGGTGGCGGCGAAACTTGCGATGAACATGCAAGCAGCAACGATCATAACGATACCGGCAGTGGGGTTGTCTTGCGGTGGGAGCGCAACACCGATGATGGCAAAGATGAGCAGCCAAGTAGCTTGCCAGAGACCGCCAATGACGAGCGGCACACGGCGACCGACTCGCTCAATGAGGTACAACCCGGGGATCGTCATGGCCACGTTGACAGCACCAAGAATAAGTTGAACTTGGAGAGGATCATCAATGCCTGCGGATTGGAAGATAGTCGCGCCATACTGTGACGATTAGTGGCGTGCATGTGAGGTCGTTGTTCGAGGGAACTTACGTAGAAGAAGTAGTTGACACCGGTCCACTGCTGGAAGAATTGGATAGCACATCCGACGAGGGTACGGTATGCAAGACGCGGGATACCGGATGGCTGGCCAGTGAAGCATTCCACCCAAGTACCTTGCCCGGCGCTCTTTTGCTCGTTGATGGAATCCTCCATCTCTTTGAAGTCCGAGTTGACCAACTCGTGGTTGGGGTCGTGTGCCAAGCCTCGGAGACGAGCCATTGACATGCGCGCTTCTTCCCAACGGCCTTTACCGGCCAACCATCTGGGCGATTCTGGCGTGAAGAGTACACCGAAGCCAAGAGGGAGCGAGAAGCCGATTCCGAGGCCAATGACGATTCTCCAGGCGGCATCGCTGTCTTGGCCCGGATTGTCACGGACACCAAAGTTGATAATGTTGGAAACTGCATATAGTAAGTACTTTGTAAGCACACATCTGGGCCAGACCTACTCAGGATGCCAACAGTGATCATAAGCTGGTAAGATGCGACGACGGCACCACGAATCTCTCGTGGGCAGACCTCGGACTGGTACATCGGTACACCAATAGAGAGAATACCGACACCGAGACCAGCAACGATACGACCAATAGTCATGTGGACCCAGGTGTTCATCGCTGTGACCTGGATGATGTTGCCAATGACGAATATGAGCACACCGATGGAGAGATTGCGGCGACGACCAAACCAGTCGGCAGTGTAAGCACCAGCGAGCGCGCCGATCAGAGTACCAATGGACATGAGGGATACAAGCAGGGACGAAATCGTGGGATCGAATGCTTTCTCGCCATTGCCCTGGTCCTGTCCAAAACGCTGGATGAAGTCCTTGAAGATGAGGATTCCACTGATTTGACCCTGCATTACGTGAGCCACATGCATTCACAGGCAGAGATTGGCAGATGCATACCGTGTCGTAACCGAAGAGGAAACCACCTATCGATGTGATGACACCAAGAATGATGGCTTCGATACCGCACTCGGCACCGCGAACGCGGACAGAACTATTCAGAGTCAATATAGCATTCATGCATAGTCGAACGGCGTCAAACGTACACTTTGCCCAGACCCATGGTTGTAGTAACGATTCGATCACGACAAGACCGATGTGCGAGACAAGATGGATTTACTTGTTCGGCACACGACGAATCTTAAGTATCGATGCCAATTCCAGTCCCGTGTCCCGTAATGCGGTAATGCCCAGCATCGCGCCGAGCGTTCGACTCCGGGGCTCCTACGTCATACGCGCCACGCCGTCACGCGAAATTGCGCGCGAGCGGCCTTACCAGCTTGGCTTCACCTCCTCCACAGCCAAACAAAAGTGATCCGGGGGTCTGAAACTGCAGTAGTGGGCTTGTCAATGCGACGCAGCCGCTGGGGGACAAGGGGCGTGTATGTGGGGAAGCAGGTCGCGATTCGATAGCCAAGCCAAATCCGCCCGACGTTCCGGGAAGCCCACCAAGAGATAGACGGCCTCGAGCACACATGGATCGGATCGTGCTCTCACATGCTCATCTGACGGTAGGCGTTGTACAAGGCGTCCTGCTAGATCCCTAACGTGCAAAGTGAACGCCTCTGATGCGCACCCCGCATTCAGGCGCAAAGCACTCAGCGACGCGCTCCAGGGACCGTTGTGCCGCACAGCCGGGCGCCAGAAACTTGGTGACGGTCGCGTGACTTGTGGATATCGACTCGACGACGCGTATTCTTCGGCCGGGGCCATGTCGGTGAAGATACTTCACTTCAAGATGCGACAGACGCTCTCGGCAGTGGGGATGATGGAGATGCGTACGACCCCATCCGGGCCTGTGCAGCCTCAACACCTGGGCTCCGACCATCCCTCCGACTCTTTGAACAATTGCCGCGCGAACCGGCACAAGCTTTATCGCTGTGCTTGTTTTGGACTGCAATCTCCGATCGCTTGCAGTCTCTCTCCGGTCAAGTAAAGCGAGGGACCCAGTTTGGATGCAACGTAAGCCAGGTTGCGGCGACGGATTGGTGCGAGAGCGGCCCACATGAGGCTCAAGGAAGACACTAAGAATCTTCCATTACCTTGGCATGTCCGACCCGCATCGGACGAGAAAGTGAGGCCGTAATCTCGGCAGTTCCCACGTCGTGGAGTGGGTGTGAAGGCTTTGAGGGGCAGCCTGCGTGTTGGGGAGAAGAAGGGGTGTGGAGGTTGCGGAGACTGGAGAAACTTCTCCTTGGTAGTAAGCACTGGGGACGAAATGGAGAAGGAACAACACAAGCAGCAACAACAGCAACCTTCTTGCGCAACTCTCCCTACAACATGACTTGTGTCTAGGTAATTTACACGACAACTGACTCTCACGGCTTCTTGCTCTGTGCGGTTTAGCGCATCCGGTGGGATGTACATAGTAATCCTGTCACCGCAGAAGGGAAGAGACACTGCGCCGGCAACGCGCCGATGCCAGGTACGATCTGAAACGTCGTCATTCCCGCATCTTTCGATGTATCGATGTCTGAGTGAACAAAAACAATGCCCTTCAACGCGGTCTGCCAAGTCACGTGCGGCGTTCCTTGGTCCTTCTAGGCACCGTTGGAACGCGATGGTGATGTCATCATGTCGCGATACTCAGGAGCCAACTGAGAATGCTGCATCAACCCAGAACCCCTAACAAGAACACTCGGGAAGACATTGCGGAGTACACCAAACTCAAATTTCCTATAGACAACCTCCGGACTCACAAGTAGATCACAAAATGGTCAAAGACAACGAAACCGTGATTGAGTAAGTGGCCCATGAACGTCAACGCAAGCAAAGTGCTTACGGCATCGCAAGGGAGTTCAACGAGCTGGTCAACATGTCGGCAGACGAACTACAAGACTGGCTTGGCAGCGATGAATCCGCTGGAGCCGGCTGGTAAGCCCTGCCTGCAACGAATGCAGTGCTGACGTTGCGAATCTTATGACATGCATGCCCTCTAAGACGCCTACAGGTCCAAAGACAACGGCTCCGGCGAGACAGTCGGCCACGATTCGGGTCGTAAAATCGTTGCTATACTGCAGAATAATCCGCAGAAGGACGCGGATAAGTATGAACAAGAAGACATTGACCACATGCGCAAGGTGGTAGCATACTGCAAGAGGCATCTTGCGCAAGAGGACAAGGCGAAGAAGGACACGGATAGCAAGAGCTACAAGAGCTTGAAAAACTGGGGTCACGACGCCCAGAAGGCTTGAGCATCTGCATGAATGGGAATGATGCTGGAAGAGGTGTGAACTCGACACAGGCTGAACAAGTAGCGATTTGCATATATCGAGGTCAAACCACAGGCTTCCAATATTGTGACAACAATGACACGAACACATGTCACTTCGTCATTTTGTGCAGGAGACATGGATTTCAAGACGGCCGTATCAAAAGTGGAGTAAAATAGAAACAATGCTTGAAAGACATCTAGGTAGAAGCGGCGCACAGGACGAGTGTCTTGGTCTACAGAGCAGTCGACCTCTTGCGGCCAGCGAAGTAGTTTCCCTTTGATTCGTTAGTTCTCAGTTCGAGTAGTCGGATCGGTGATACTTACTTGCATGCCACCCACGCACGCTGGCTGCTCCATTTCCTCCGTCTTTGTTCTCTCAGGTGGGCTTCTGCGCATGAAGCACTCGCCTACATGATGGCCCTCATCGCACGCAACGACCCATTGGCCCATACCCATGTCCTTGGGAGCGTGCCTGACACCTCTTC